CCATCTCACTGTAGCACAACGGGAAAAGCAGATGTAAAAATAGAAGTGATACATGCAACTATTAACAGTGAGCAAAACGGAACGGAGCAGGCTGCAGCAGCACTGACAGAAGAGGAAACGGCTTCCTCCAGGGCAGGCCGCCCATCTCCAGCGGACAACACGCCAACTGACTAGTGAGGTCTCCTCCACCAGCTTGGCCCTGATGTACGGATAGGGGACTGGGAGGAGGAGACAGGAGAGGAGAGCAGGTAATATCCTCCTGACACACACGAAGGAGCCCGTGCACTTGGCAGGAAATGCCTCCCTGGAGTTCCTCGTGCTGCCCTGCGAATTAGCTCCTCTTTGTCAAACTTACGAATAGGCAAGAATTTTAGTAATGAGAGTGTTGGATGAGAGGACAAAGCGAGCACTAAGAAGATGGGGCAGACTGCAGAGCCAGAAAATAACTACCTCGGCTTCTCCTGTCAGTTTTCCCTGCGCTCTGTTGGGGGGACGCTGACAGCCCGCTCGGGAGGTTCTGCACAGCAGTTCCGTGGAAGAACTTTTGGTGGTTGTTTGATCTTATTTTTTTTAGAGTGAGACATAATTCACACATCATAAAATTCTCTCCTTAAAGGCATGCACGTCAGTGGTTTTTAATATATTCACAGGTTGTTCAACTATTACCACTAATACCAGAACATTTTCATTCCCCCAAAGGAATTGCACACCCATTTGTAGTCACCCCAAATCCTCCTTCATCATCAGTTTACTTTCTTCCTCCATGGTCTTATCTTTTCTGCATGTTTCGAAGAAGTGGAATCATACAATACACTGCCTTTTACTCCTGTTGTTGTTTTTTTTTTTTGTACCAGGAATCTAACTCAGAACTTTACGCTTGCCAGGCAGGCACTTGTCCCGCTGAGCTATATCCCTGGCTCTATGCCTGTTTTTTTTTAAAAAAACTTAGTATGTTTTCAAAGTTCACCATGTCATAGCATGCATCAGTACTTCATTCCTTTAAAAATAAGTTATACACTGTTAAAGTGTGTAACATGTGCCGTTTGTATATGTACTCAAAGTGTTGTACAGCTTCTATCAAAACACGCTATCCCTCCAAAGCAAAAATCCTGATCTCCAAAGCAAAACTCCTTACCTATTTCCCGATTCGCCTTCCCCAGCCCTTGGCAACCAGCAATCTATGTTCTGTGTCTATGGATTTATCTATTCTGGATATTTCATATAAATGGAATCATAAGTGACCTTTTGGTATTTGGCTTCCTTTACTTAGTAAAATGCTCTGAAGGTTTCTTCATGTCATGGCATGCATCAGTATTCCTTTTAATGGCTGTATAATATTCTATTGTACAGATACAGGTGTCACAATTTATCTATTCATCTGCTAATAAACATTTTTATTGCTCTCAATTTTTTGCTATTATGAATAATGTGGTTGTAAACATTTGTGTACAAGTTTTTGTATAGACACATGTTTTCATTTATTTTGGGCATATGCCTATAAGTGTAATTGTTAGGTCCTATGGTAACTCTATATTTAACTTTTTGATGCACTTCAATACCATTTTCTAAAGTGACTAAACATCTTACATTCCTATTGACAGTGTATAGGAGTTCCACTTTCTCCATATTCTAGATAATACTTGTTTTTAAAGTTTTTCCCTTTTTTTTTTTTGGTACCAGGAATTGAACTCGTGACCTCACGCTTGCCAAGCAAGTGCTGTGAGCCAAATCCCTGGCCCAGAGAATACGTTATTTTTGGTTTTTTTGGCACTGGGAATTGAACTTAGGACCTTGCACTTGCCAGGCAGGCGCTTATACCACTGAGCTATATCCCTGGCCCTTAATTTTTTTTTAATTATGGTTATCCTAGTGATTATAAAGTGGTCTCACTGTATTATTAAATTTGTTTTGACATAGAAGTCATTCATATAGTTTATTTACTTGTTTATTTTGTTTTTTTGAGAAAGGGCCTCACTATGTAATTCAGGTGGCCTTGAATGCTATGTAGCTCAAGTTGGCCTTGAACTCACAGTGTTTCTCCTGTCTCAGCCTCCTGAATGCTGAGATAATAGGCATGTGCCACCACACCTAGCCACACAGTTTAAAAAGGTAAGACTTAGACTATAAATGCTCTATTCTTCTCCATTTCCATTTCCATGAGGCAAATACTTTAAATTCTTTCGGGTAATGTGCTTATAATGTTATTTTAAAACCCATTTTAGATCGCTTCTCTTGACTCCCAACTATGGAAGCTGAGCACTTAGCTTCCGTGCACACCAATACACCCATTCGCCTCATCCTTTCACCTTCACAATCTGATTACTAATCTCATTTTTAGTTAGATCAGCAACTAACATTTACATTATTATGGCTATGCATGGATGTACAAAGATTCTATTTAATTATACCTTTTCCTCTTAAGTCTAGATGACCTAGGGTGGAAATCTGTCTCATGTTTCTTTTTCCTCAGTTTTCCACATACCAATTACTAATTCATCTTCAAATTCTCCAAGGGACCTAAACATCTCTGGATATATTGAAATACATTGGTTATTCTATTTATTGTTTCTTCTTTCTTTTTCTGGGGCATGTGATCAGACAAGATCAGGCACATTCAGGGTGGAATGGCCATAGATGTTGGGGCATGTGATCAGAACTCAGTATTTGTTGAATGAATGAATGAATGAAAATACATAGCTATAGGACTAAAGATCTCAACAGTCGAAAGGAAAGTTAGATACTACTTCCACTCCATCTTAATCACTTCTAGGTCATAATATTAATGGGTGCACTTTGGAGGTGAGGTACACAGGGCCCTGAGAAGTTACCTGACTTCCTAAAAGTGATAGCAAAATTTCAGGAGAAGCTGGGCTGGAACTCTAGTGTGGTGGTCTTTGAGCCCTTCTACTCTGTCAGGTTACTTCCACAGAAAACAAAGAGCATTTATCCTGAAGGGGATGTGGACTTTGGATCTTTCTCTTTCAAACCTATTGAATTTTCTGAAGCCTAAAAAGTAACTGTAAGAGCTACAAATCCAAATGAAAGGGCAAAACTAGTATCAGCAAAATGTGAAACCCTCTTAGTGCACATTGTTGTATTTAATATTCTCATGTGCATAACTGGTTAGGATTTGAGAAATCTAGTCTTTCCACAGGAAATTACAGTACTCTGAGGATCATCACTACTAATTTGAATTTGAACATGTCTAAGGCTAATTTTTCTAATGTGGTCCCGTGCCCAAGCAGTGCATTTGCACAGGACTATTCTGTGATAAGCATGAGTTGCTTCTTCTGTCTGATCAGCATCTACTTCCTTATCCTCTGATAAGAGTCCTTTGATTTTTTTTAACACCGGGGATCGCAACATGACATGGGACACTGTGGACATGGAGCTGCCAAGGATCACACTCTGAGAACCTGCGTGGGCTCAAGACTCGCTGTGAGGAGGGCAGAGCTGACTGGGAAAGTGAGTGAAAAGCCCTTACACGGTTTAGGTTCTGCATCCTGCTGTATCTGTAAACTTTCCAACTGTGTGCATCAAATAACCCCGTCTGAGTTGTGCTTTTGCCACTTATAACCAATAGGAGTGGTGACTAAACAGATGTGAAAGCAGAGGCTGAGCCACTTGGGTGCGACCATGTAGGGCTGCCATCTTTGAGGCGCCCCCATTTCATGTTAGCAAGAGAAGATAAACTCTTCTTCCTTTGACCGAGGATACAGGGTAATGTCCTAATTCCATCTTAGTCTAATGGAATACTAAATGAACAGAGAGCCTCTCAAATTCAGGTTCTTGATCTCTTTGATAAAACAAACCAAAAAACCCTAATGGTTTCACAAATGACAGAATACAAAGAAAATGATAAGACCAAGCACAATTTAGCAAATATTCCATTCGGCACATTTTGAAAGGCAACTGGTGAGCTTCTGTTGTATAAACATTTATTGCACTTATATATTTTCAAAGCATATTTATACCCTTAACTTCCTCTGATTCCCACTGAGTCTTCTTTTTTTGATAAATGATTCACATTTTAAAGTTGTCTCTCAGCATAAAAACAAAACAGGATGTATTTTATAAATAATTAATCAGTACCTTACATATATATAAAAATCTTTAAAATTTTCTTCTTCCCTAACTCTAGCTTCTTGTCCCTGAAGTTTACTTACTTTTCTAGTCAGCTTTTCTGAATTCTATCACTAAGAAATAATTTTTATTTTCCAGGTTGTAGGGGAACCATAAACCTTTTTCTCGAACTTGTTTCCTTTTCATTCCTACTCTGTAGCCACGACTTGTTCATCTAGCACATTTGTCCCAATACAGTCTCTCTCTCTCTCTCTTTCTCTCTCTCACACACACACACACACACACACACACACACACACACACACACACCTACCTGGAGCACACAAGCTTAGTTTTGAACTCTAGCCCTGTTACTTAATGGTTATGTGACCCTAAGCGTGCTTCCTCTTCAGAAAATGGGGATAGTAACAGGACCTGCTCATATAAAGATTAGATGACATGTATGTAGAAAATACAGCAAGCATGCATGAAATGGTAACTGTTAGTATTTGTTGGCTAAAAGAATGACCTCTGCTAACCAAGGCTCCTGGCCATTCATTCTACACCATGGCTATTTGTTTATTGTCTAGAAACTAAGCTCCAGGAGGACAGAGATTCTGTCTGGTTCATTACTATATCCCCAGCGCCTAGTATGTGACTGGTACATAATAGGTACTGAATGAAAGAATGAATGAGTACAGATAATACAGGTGTAATTTTACTGGTATTCTGATTTTATGAATGAGGTAACCGAGGTTCAGTGAGGTTTAGTGATGGTGAGTCTGAGATGATTAAGATACAGTGCTCTTGCTCAATGTTCTTTTCTACCGTATCGTTTCCTAGGCTTCATCTCATTATGCAAAACTCAGGCAAAGTACCTTAGTCATTAAACAAAGATTATGAAGGGCCAAAAATGATTGTTAAAGTGTGAAACCTACCGTGGTATCCACAGCCTTGACTTTCTCGGTTGGAATGTGCTTTGGAACAGGCTCTGTCTGTGACACCATCAAGCACCCTTCGACCCCCAAGGTGATGATTACGACCTGGCAGCCCCTTGTCAGGAGCACCAGGGCAGCCTTCCCAGCTTCGGCTGGGCTGCTCACTGTGAGGCCGGTTAAAATCTCGGCCTGGAACACACAAAGGAAAAGGAAACTGCTAAAAACAATGAACCAGAACCCACTGCCAGAATTATTTTTCTAGAAAATGTGTCTCCCTTCTTTTTTTATATCAATCAATGTGACGGAAACTTTGATGGATAATGTACTGGTGTGGAAAAATAAATAAAAAAGAATAACAACAACAAAAAACCTAGTTATAAAAGACATTCTTGGAACAAATAGGTAAATTTGAATACGGCCTGGATATCTCATATAACAGTATAAAATGCCTGGTATTTCCTAAGTGTAATAAGGGCATTGTTTCCTCTGAAGAGACACACACTCAAGTATGTAAGGTATGTGTTATGGTCTGCATCTACAAGTCTCCCTACAAAGCCTCGTGTGGTCATTGGTGGGGCTTTTCCAGGGGTGGCTGGCTCTAGAGTGTGCGATGCTGGGATCATGGGTGTGTGACTACTAAACCAGTCTACTGATTGGTTGGCATAGTTCTGGGTAGGACTAAGGGTGCCTCACCCTGGGTGTGAGTGCTGCCCACCCTAAGGGTATATAGCCTGGATAAAATATAAGGGACAGAAAGAGGGTTGTCACTTCTTGCTTGCTGCCTTCTACCTGCCGAAGATTACATGTAAATGGCAAAACTGGCCTGTATACTTTTCATGTCCTTTCTTAATTCTAGAAAACATCTCGCAGTTCTCCCTCTAATATAATGGATTACTCCCCAGTCCTTCCATTCTCTGCATCTTTTACTCCATTGAATGTACTGTGTTTTTCTTTTTGCTCTGCTTTCTCAGTGACTTCCCCTACCTGTGGGTGAATGGATTAAGAGTCTCTTTCAATGTACTACTTCTTTATTCTAAAACAATATTTATTTTTCCAGTGAATAATTAAGAAAATTTCAATAACTTTCATTTTCAATAGGTTCTAATGGGATGTTTTTCATACTCACATATTGTGGCTTTGATTGTTTTTCTTTCACAATTTCTTCTTTTATGAAGATATGAATGAATATTAATCATACTTATGTTAAAGTCTTTTTTGCATTGTTTTGTTTCATTGCTACAGTTTCCTCTTGGTCGCATTCATCTTTAGACTGACTGCTGGCTAAGTTCCACAGCACCCGGCCTCTTTGTCTGCAGGCTCGTTGTGCGGGCTGTGAGGTGTGCACACTTCATCTCCCACCTGGTCTATCCCTGACTTTTAGTGGTTCCAGAGTCTTATGTACCAGGATCCCGAGGGTCTCTAACCTGGAGGCAGGTATCATGCTGGCCACATGGAGTTCCTGCTCTGCCATTACTTGGGACACTGCCAATATACTAAGCCAGTGTTTGGCTTGGTTTCCCTCCTGGTGAGAGGCAGTGTCTCTGTCCTTCTGTCTCCTCAGGTTGGGAACCTTCAGCGGAGGGGCAGCAGGTTCTTCCACCTTTTATTATTAGCAGGGGAGCCACAGCTCTCCAGGCATGTTTTCTAGTCATGGGCACTGATGCTCTCCCACTGGCGGCACACTTTTAGTGCCAGTGACCTACAGGGTGTGAGCCTCCTTCCACCTCTGCCTGCTTCTGGGCCAGGTGCACAGCACATCCAAGGCTGGAATCCACCACGAAGCTGTTATACTTTTTCATGTGCATGTGGTTTCAGACAAGGTCTCACTATATAGTTCAGTCTGGCCTTCAACTCACTATATAGCCCAAGCTGGCCTCGAACTTGCAGTGATCTTCCTGCTTCAGCTTCCTGAGTGCTAGGATTACAGGTGTGGACCATCATGCTTGGCTTAACTGTTATTCTTTTGATCTTATGCAGTCACATTCTATTTTTGAACTTGTTATCTTTTCAGTATTACTTTTTATACTTATGTATCAGTGTAGCGGTGGGTTTTTCTTTTTTCTTTTCTTTTTTTTTTTTGTGGTACTAGAGATTGAACCTGAGTCCATGGAGCTGCATCTCCAGCCACAATCCACCCCCTGCCCCCCAGTTTAAAAAGTTTTAGACAGGGTCTCAGTAAATTGCATGGCTGGTCTTGAACTTGGAATCCTCCTGATGTAACCTCTTTAGTAGCTTAGATTATAGCTGTATAGCACCACACCGGCTCAGAGAGAGTATCTCAAGCATGGATTTACATTATTAGTGTAAATTATTTGAATTCATCCATAAGAACATTAAAGATTTATTTATTTAAAATATTTGAGACCAACTTCTTTAGAGACCAGAGTTAATTCATTTAATAAACATTTGCTGGGTACCAACTTTGTGCTGGTATGTGTGGCAGATGTCATTTTCCAAAGATAACTATATTAATATGCATCACTGTAAGTGCTGTTTTACACTGTGTGTTATGTTTTAGCTTCAACCCCTCCCCTGGTCTCATGTGCTCAGAGGTGTGGTTTTAGAAGGTGACTGGATTATGGGGAGCCACACTCATCCGTGAATGAGCCATGGATGGGTTCACTGCTGAATGTGTTATTAGGTGGTGGGCCTGGTTGGAGGTGAGTCACCGAGGGCTGCCCTGGAAGAGTATGTTCTCGTCCTTGGCTCCCTGCTTCCTTGCTTCTTTGCTCTGCCATGCCCTTGTGCCATGACGTTCCTGCCTTAGACCCTGGCAACCATAGACTGAATCCTCTGAAACATGAGCTCAATCACACCTCTCGTTTTTTAAGTTGTGGGTAGTGGGAACTGTGTCATAGCAATGGCAAAACCCAATATATTGGGACAATATAATGTTCTATGAAGTGGTAGGGTATGAGGGTGGACCTTCTTCCTCCAACCAATAGAATGGGGCAGAAGTGATGCTAAAACTAAAGTTATAAAAGCCAACATGGTTTCTGCCTAGAGCTCTTCTCCTTCACGGTGGATCTGGGAACTGGTTATCTATTGTGAGGAATGCCAGGCCACAAGCAGAGGCCATGTGTAAGTATTGTGGTCTATGGCTCCATTATGCCCCAGCCAACAGCCAGCACCTCCTAGCAAGCATGTCAGGTAATTCCCTCCCTTGGCTTTAAGTCTTCTAGCTGAGGACCAAGGCACTGTACAGCAGACAGACAAGCCATACTTTCTGAATTTCTGATGTACAGAAACTGAAAACAATAACGAGTATTATGGTAATGCACTAAATTTTGTGGTAATTTATTATGTACCAAGACAGCTATATACACGGGGATAGCTTCTTGGGCTACAATAGTAAGACCAATGTCCTGACCTCATGGAACTTGTAATTTAATGGAGAAGGTAGAAGAACTGAATATATAATTTGTGCTGTGATGAATGTTTTTTTTTGTTCTTTTTTTTTTTTTTTTTTTTTTTTTTTTTGAGACAGGGTCTCGCTATGCAATTCAGGCTGGCCTTGAGCTCACTTTGTAGCCCAGGCTGGTCTCAAACTCACAAAGATCCTCCTGCCCCAGCTTCCCGAGTGCTGGGATTACAGGCGTGTGCCACCATGCCTGGCTTGTGATGAATGTTTGAAGCATAAAGAGATTGCCTTTTAAATATCTAGCAAGGAAATCTGAGCCAGTTTGTCAGTTGAAAGTAATCTAACCCCATATTGTGAAATGGTCACTATCTTCCACAATACCTTTTTCCTAGCCCAATGCATGGACATGGTGATTGCTCAAAAATATTGCATAATGTACTGTGGTTTGTTAAAATTAGCTTCCATGTACAGTCTCGTGTCCTGTATGTTCTCTCGAGAAGCAGGCCAAGAAATTCTGGAAACTGTCATTCGGGCCTCAAACTGAGTGGAAAATTAACAGTTCATTAATTACTGTTTCTCTGTGTGCTGCATTCGCTGATGTGTATTCATATCCTGCATCCCAACAACGAAAGAGTGCTCTGGTCTAATGCTATCTGGCCTACAAAGACGAAGAAATATTAAAATTTTCTTCGAAAAATACTCAGGAAAGAGTAGTGGACAGACACTTTGTGCAGATGTATACATTATGAGACTCATACTTGTTCTTTTAATGCAGAGGCCCCTAAGGCCTTTTCTTGGTTATCAATGGGGAACCTGTGACTGTCGACCAATGATGTGACGATGCCCAAATAACAGAAGGTAGCAGACACTTTGGGGCTGTACACTCAGTAAGGCTGATCTAACAGCTTCCAGATAAAAGATCAGAAGCTCGGTTAAATCTGAACTTCAGAAAACAACAAATAATTCTGCAATATTTAGGTGTGTCTGGTAAATTATTCACTGACTATCTGAAATTCAAATTTCACTGGGCATCTTGCATATTTATTTGCTAAACCTGGCAACGCTGATACTAATTAGACTACAGAATATAGAATAACTAGAAAGGAAAAGAAAATACCAGCAACGTGAAGGCAGGGAAGGGGCCAAACTTGGAGTTTGCTAAGTGCCACACTATGGAGGTGGCTCAGGGAATGCTTCACCCCTAGCCCTAGGATTTACTAATTTCCTTTTCTCTACACCCCAGTAAACTGAAAAAGTTAGTTTTTAACTGTGTTTAAGAATTCTATTGTGACCAAATTGATGAGGTTAATCCTGCCTCTTTATCCACTTGTGTAAAAGCCTTTCGGTTGCTCACAGAATGACAAAAGTAATTCATCCTTACCTCACTTTCATTGCAGCAGAACACATCTGCTACGGTGTAGAACTGGGGATCAAGGTCAGCAATGGCAGGGGCTGGATTGAACAATGTTTTCACTTCAAAGGAAAGGGAAAAGGGTTCAATGGTTATCATGTTTAATATGGTGCATTTACAGACGTTTCATAGGACAAATCCCTGAGTGCAATCATCTTTGCATTCATCAGATATTTTTTTTTTTTTTTTGGTACTGGGAATTGAACCTTATGTTTGTCAGGCAGGCGCTGTGCCACTGAGCTAAATCCTCAGCCCCTCATCAGATTAAATATCCACTCAGTGACAGATTAGAAAAATCTGAAATCTCAACCTCTATGACAGCCTAGTACTATTTCCTTCTTATCTGTGTTCCTCGATTTTTCATGCTAGCATTGAAATGTTAGCATTTCAGCTTTGAAGGTAAGCATCGATATTTATAGGCAAGGTGATTCCAGAGTTAAGTCAGGGGCCAGAAGAACATTAAAGGAAAAATGCTGTGGTATGAAAGGACGTGCATGAACATGAGCAGGCTACTCAACATTTCTGTGGGTTGCTTTAAGTGCTTCGTTGCAAGGCCAGTTGATACATCCATTTTCCAGGGAAGAAAGAAGAAATGACAGAAAACAAACAACAAAGAGTTCAAAATTTCCCTGGTAAAAATAGTATGCAGGAAACTCAGGTATATATGTATATTTTGTGCACCCATGCGTCCCAATTATCTCACAATTATGCATGCCAGCGCGTACACACACACACACATACACACACACACACACACACACGCACAAAAGCTCCCATTCTTGGTTTTTGCGAGCAGCCTGGGAAACTTAAAAAAGAATTGAGAAAGTCTGAGCAGTGAGAGGCTTTGACTATGAGGCTACGAGAAAAGGATGAACACGGCCAGCAGAAAGAGGGAAAGGAGAATGTCACAGCCACTACATTCAGAGAAGTGAATTTTTTGGAGGAGAAAAGTGAGGCTCAGAGAGGTGAAGTCATATTGTGAAAGTCCTTCCCTGGGATGTGGTTAGGCTGAACCCTGTACCCAGGGTCCCCTCGCTTTAAACTCAGGGTTTGACCTTCTCTGAAACAGCAGAACTCTTCCCTATGTCAGGTTTCTGTCAATAATAATCCATGCCCTCAATTCTGAAATTCACGTCTTTTAAAACAGCTTTTGGCACCAAACTCTGTGAATTATTTTACCTATCTTAGCAATCACATTTGCAGGAAGATCACTCTTTGTCACGACACTTATTCAGCAGAGCACTCAACCAGATTGGCTAGTGTTTTTATCAACTGGGGTCCACTGACTACCTGTTAGGGAGTTCTACCTGACTACAGAGCCGCAGAGTAAAATCCGATAGCTGCAATTCTCAAAGATTCTTCTAGAACAGTGGCTCACACAGGTCATATCAGCACCACTAAGAGCACGCATTCAAATGCGTGATTTCCAGACTTCACCTCAAACCCACTGAAGTAGAATCTCTGGGAGGTAAGATCAGGGAATCTGCACAGTCACAAGTTCTCCAGGTGGCTCTTACACAGTTCGCTTGGCGGGGATCCACGCCACATTCCTGGGGTGAAGCTAATCAGCATGTGCTGATGCAGACAGCCCATTCCTGCAGCCTGGTGAGGCAGACTAGCCTATTTCTGTACCTTCCCAGGTCTTCCTTAATGTTTTGGTTCAGTCAGCAGTGTTGTCCAGTACGGCTAACACTAGTCCCACATTTTTATTATTTTAGAACAGAAATGCTATGGTATATTTTTGGCTGCTCAGATTTTTGTACAGGACTATTGTGAAGCTTAAATTAGAAAATGGACATAAAAGCACTGTGTAAACTGTAAAGTGTTGTACAAAAGTAGAGGATTATTACTGTTATTATAACGTCCTTTGTGCACAGCCCAACACCCCCGCCTGTCCACCCCTCTTTTGCCTTTTGCTGGAGTGTGCAGCCTAGTGACAATCTCTCACTGGTTCCTCCACTTTTGCAGGGCCTTAGTGATATCAGTAACGCATAAAAGTCCCCACTGCCCAGAATTCTAACACTTCTTCCTACTTCTGAAGTTTTCTTAGCAATATACTGTTTCCTACTTTCCTCAGTCATTAAATCTAAACGCTCTTGCTCAGCTAGTGGGATCCTCAAGTCTGCACTTACCAGAGTTACAGCACTGGCTAGAACAGCTACTGGTACAGAGAGGAGGGAAGAGCCATTCTTAGAGAAGCTGCTTTTGTTATCCAAAGATCTCCAATCTAGCAATTCTTTTTCCAGCCTATCCTACAGAAATCATAGGCTTGCAAACATGTCATACAATGATGTTTACACGACCGTTTGTAATAGAAAAAAACAAAGAAACCTACACGTCTATCAAAGGGGAGTGGTTCAGAAAGTTATGATATGCACATGATATATACCATGCTGTTGCTAAGAAGGATAAAGTAGGCCTCTGCTTTGTCAGAGGAAGATTTCTGAATTTATTAGAAGTGAAAAAGGCAGCTATAAAAGGTGCTGGAGAGAAATCTGATTATAAATTAAGTGCCGTAGATCATGCAAAGACATCACTGTTTAAACATATATAATAACTTCCATGAAAAACTGCCACATACTTATAAACCCAGTACTCAAGAGGCTGAGGCAGGAGAACTGCCAATTGGAGGCCAGCCTGGTCTATAAAACCAAAAGCAGGCGCACTATGAGCGCAACGATGCATTCTGTAGGTTTTGTAGTGGAGGGTAGGCGGTAACGAGCTGGGGTACGGAAGGAACAACACTGGCCATATCTGGGTAACTGCTGAAACTAAACAACAGTATATATGGGCTTACCACGCTATTCTCTGTGCATCGTTGTATATTTGACATTTTCCATAGTAACAACAAATTCTACCACAAATCTTGAATAAAATCAATCAAACCTTATTTGCCTAAGATAGAATTCTTACCAATAATAACTGTCTATGAGGGTTTACAGTCAGACACATAAGTTTATTTATTTATTTTTTTAGTACTGGGAATTGAACTCAGGACCTTGCGCTTGCCAGGCAGGCACTTATGCCTCTGAGCTATATTCCCAGCCCTGATACTTAAGTTTAGATTAACAAAATTTAAGGGAAAAGTAAAATGTCCTAAAGAAGAGACCCATATTGGCTCATGCTACCACAACTGAGCAGATATACTTTACCATGAGGAAGCATGAAGAGTTAGTAGGAGTTCGAGAGAAGAACAAATGTGTAACTGTCAGGGTGGAAAAGAGGATGTCGCCTTGGGACCAGGCGAAAGGAGGGAACACACGTGACTTGGACTGCAGAGGTGACTGCAGCACCCAGCAGTAATTGTTACTCATCACAGTAGACAATGGACTAACCGCCTGCTTATCTGTACTGCAAGTCAATGGCTGATACAGTAATGTCCGTGAAGGGCTAGTGAGGCCTGGGGACAGGCTGAAATACAGGGAAACGAAGCGGAAGTTCTTCATGTGCTGACATGGAGGGCAGGGGCCGAGGAGTTAAAAAGGTCTGAAGAACTAGCTCAGAGAAAAGAGGAAGAGAGTCAGTCTGAGTTAAGAAGGTGTGAGGAGGCTGGGCACCCAAAACACTGGCTTGGCTGACTCTTCCCCTGGAGGTTTTTTTCCTGCAACTTTAGCAGCAAAGTCTGTCCAAGCTTGGGTCATGGGCTGGATAATGTTACTGTCAAAATGTAGGTGGCCAGCCAAAAAGTTTTGCTTGCCAAATGGAAAAGAACTAAAGTGGCATTAAAAGATACTTTGTATCGTACCTACGATTTAATCTTGGCTATCTTACAATGTCAATTATTTATAATTGCTCCTGTAATGTTCCACTTGCTTTGAAATGGATATAAAGACCAGAACCAACACGCAGAATTTCATCACCAGAAGCCACAGCAGCAGCTCCACACTGTGACCTGGCAAGGATGGGGCCATACAGGGCGACCAAGTTTTTTTTTAATGTGGTAAGTGCTGTCTGTAAAACCAATGTGCTTTTTTTTAGAGGGGTAGGGGTGGGGTGGGGGGGGTGTCAAAATAAATAAATAAATAAAACCAATGTTTTAATCTTACTTATTTATTTATTTTTGAGACAGGGTCTTGCTATGCAGTTCAGGCTGGTGTTGAGCTCACTTTTTAGCCCAGGCTGGTCTCGAACTTGCAACGATCCTCCTGCCTCAGCCTCCCAAGTGCAGGGATTACAGGCATGGGCCACCATGCTTGGCTTGTTTTAATCTTAGTAAAGACAGGGACAAAGAATTTTGAGACAGTATATTCAAAGATAGGGGGACCTTTTCCTCTATGCTGTAATAATTGATATATAATAGTTATACAATGTGTATAATTCAAATTTCACTACTTGTTAACAGGTAACAGAGCTGGACAATAAGCTCAACTGCTAATGATGACTTTGCCATCTCTTTTGAAGATGGAATAATGCTGAGTAGCACATATGTCACCTCAAGGGGTAAAGGGCAAGACACGTGGTGTTCAACACGTGAGCTTTTAGTCATGTTCTCAATTTCTGGTGCAAACGCTGTGGAAATCAGTCTGGAGATTCCTCAGCAAACTAGGATTAGAGGTCCCATTCAACCCAGCTATTCCCCCTTTGGGTATTTTTCCGGAAGAAAAAACATCATACCACAGTGACATGTGTGCACCCATGTTTATAGCAGCACAGTTTGTCATAGCTAAATCTTGGAAACAACCCAAATGTCCATCAACTGAGGAATGGATAAAAAAGATGCGGCATTTTTATTCAATGGAGTATTACTCAGCTATAAAGAAAGATAAACTCGAGGCTTTTATAGGTAAATAGATGCAAGTAGAGACCATACTTATGAGTGAAATAAGTCAGTCTCACATGTGTAAACATCCTATTGCCTCCCTAGTGTAAGAAACTGAAAGAGTACATAAAATCTGAAAGGTACGATAGATATTGTGAAAGGGAAAGAAACTGCTCAAAAAGAAAGAACAACTGGGATGAGGGAAAAGAGAAAAGAAAGAAAGAAGGGAAAAATTACATATATATATATATACACACACACACACACACACACACAAGATAGCTGAGGTAATTGTACTACTAATTTCTATAGGTTTATCAAAAGGAACAGTTAATGCTTAATTGTTTGATCAACCTTAATGCCTATATCCGGCTATCTGAGTAACCAGTCTGAAGATATCAATATGTAATACAACAATCATTGTTAATTTCCTATCACCTTGTTTGGAATTCTGTATCACTTTTATTGTTTTGTGTTGGTTTGTTTATGTCTTTGTGTTTGTTAATTTGTTTTTATTTTTATTTTTTTAAAAAAAACAGATGTGAGCTTTGCCTGCCACGCTCTGCAATCAGTCCATGGTGACATTAACAAGCTGTGAGAGTGCTTGGCCAGAATCTCTTGCTTCACACAAGAAGAAATGGAGGTCCAGAGCAAAGGACTGACCTCCTTGCCTGAGGTTCCTTATTTGCTAAGTGAGTGGTTCTGGATTCGAGGATATTTTTCAGGATTCCCAAACTGGTACTCTCCTTTCATTAAGCTACTTTCCTCTCCTATGGGAATAAAGATGCATCACACACACACACACACACACACACACACACACACACACACACACACACCCTGTAGTATCCAAGCTGCACATGCATTTGCTAGAGTCTACCAAATAGGGGAGAGCCAACTTGGCCAGAGAATGCTGCCTGACTGGAGGATTTCCAGATAGAGGTGTGTCTTGGGTGCTTGTGTATGCACTATGTATACTGTAGTGGAGCACACAGGGAAACACTGCTGAAAATACTCTAAGGCTTCTTCTCTGTTTCTTTTTCTTTTCCTTTCCTTTCCTTTTCTGATTTTTTGAGACACTATGTAGTCCAAGCTGGCCTTAAACTTGAGGCAATCCCCCTGCCTCAGCCTCCCAAGTTCTGCCATCACAGGCCTGTGCCACCATGTCTGGCTTCTTTTCTGTTTTTTTAGGCACCACAAATACTCAAATTGTAGGCCATACACTGGACAGTTAAAAGGTATGAATCTTACTTTTCCAGAGATACTCTAATAAAGGCACAGTTCCTTGAAATTAATAGCATGTGGGGCTTTGCTTTGCTTTTTTTTTTTTTTTTTTCTGTCTTTTTAAGACAGGGTCTCACTATGCAGTTCAGGCTGGCCTTGAGGTCACTTTGTATCCCAGGCTGGTCTTGAACTTGCAATGATCCTCCTGCCTCAGCCTCCCGAGTGCTGGGATTACAGGTGTGCACCACCATGCCTGGCTGGGCTTTGCTTTTATTTTATTTTATTTTATTTTATTTTATTTTATTTTTTGGGCTTTGCTTTTAAAGTGTGATCTAGGAGACTGAACTTGGGTCTTTGAGCCTACAATTCTGTTTTCCACACTTACTACAGGTGTTGGTTGACTGAATTAACCAGGGTCTGTCTCCTCATCCTCAATCTGAAAGAATAATGCTTGTTGTATCTTTGTCATAAGGTTTTTCTGAGGATCAAGTATATAAGGAAAAATGTTATAAGCTAAAAGTACATACAAATACAAGGTGTTAATACTTTCCATATCATATAGTGGTCCCCCCCCCCATCTGTGGTTTTGTTTTCCACAGTTTCAGCTCCCTGTGGTGAACCAGGGTTTGAAAATATTAAGGATAATTCCATAAATAACAATTCATAAATTTTAAGTTGAATACTATTCTGAGTCATGTGATGAACTCTCATGCCATCCTGCTCCATCCCAATTGGGACATGACCTCCTCTGTCCAGCCCTCCCACACTGATAGCCATCGTGGTATAATGGTGCCTGTGCTCAAGTAACTTTCATTTTACTTAGTAATGACCGCAAAGTGCAACAGTAGTGAAGCTGGCAATTCAGATATGCCAAATAGAAGCCATAAAGTGCTTCTTTTTAAGCGAAAAGGCAAAAGTTCTTGACTTAAGAAAAAAATATGTATGGTGAGGTTGCTAAGATCTATAATAAGGGTGAATCCCCCACCCTTTGGTACTGGGGTGGGAACCTGGGGTGCTCTGCTCTGAACTGTACTCCCAACTCTTTTAGTTTTTTAATTTTTAATACATTTTCTGTCTTGAAACAGGGTCTCACTAAGTTGCCCAGCCTGGCCTCAAACTTAATCTTCCTACTTCAGCCCCTGAGGTAGGTGAGATTATATGGTAGGAGTATACCATCATGCCTGGAAAGAACTCATCTTCTATCCATACAACTGAAGAATAAAAAAGATAGTGCTAATTTTGGTGTTGTACTTCAAACTGTAGAAGTTATGGCCATAGTATATGATAAGTGCTTAGTTAAGATACATTAGATTAGAGTTAGGTACTATCCAAAGTTTCAGACATCTACTAGAGGTAGATAGGAGGGGACTACTGGATAGGAAGATCATGCACAATGAATGTTTAGGCACTATGGCTTGTAGAGAAAATGTCAGGTATGCTAGGTAGTCTGAAGCCCACCATAACCTACCTCTCATCTTGTGCCCCAGGACCTCCTGCTTTTCAAATGCAAGAGCTGCTTGGCAGCTGCCAGAGGAAGCATTTCTGGACCCCACCCAAATGACAGCTGGGCCCCATCCAGATGCCAGAGCACAGTCAGGCGGCTTGCCCGTCAGAATTTCTCTCCCTCACCTGTAAAAGGCTGGCTCCTCAGCCGTGGTGGATGTACCTTCCTCTCCTCCACAAGCAGGACAGGTAACAGGCAACTAGACTAGGACAGAGCAAAAAGTGACCTCTGAGGAGCAAGGGATAGTGGGAAAGAATGAAAAGCTACATAAGAAAATGCTTCCATCTATACAAAGAGAGGCAGGAGCAAGAGCGAAGTGGGGAGTGGCGCATCGTATTCACACCCCCAGCTGAGATGAGTGCAGTGCAGAGAATGCTTACCATAAGCATTAGACTCTCTCCGTGACACTTCGAGAAAATGTAACCAAATGGGTTCTGGCTTAGAATTCTTCTGACAGCTTTGAGTCCATTAAAAATACAGTAAATGTCAGTGAGAATTTGCCGTGGCATATTTTGCCAAGAGGAAAATTTGTTAAATCAGGACACACACTTTAAAATTCTCCACAAAATCACTTCAGTGACTTATTTTCTATTTATTGGTATATAGAACACTACATACTTTATGAGAAATCACTTACGTAAACACAAACACACTCACACACATCCTGCACACATACTCTGTTCTTTCACTTTTTTTTTTTAAGTTTTGTATATTACTGTGAAAGTTTATCTGGAAAAGTCAATGTGGTTCTCTCTGTATTTTCTTACTATAAATCACACAACTACTGCTAGACTATCAGGCAAAAGCCATTGCCTTGGAGTGGCTATTTTTTATTTTCATTTCTTTGACCACATGGTGCTAGGATCAAGATATTATCCTAATTTTAATTTAAAGAAATAAGTGGACAGGAAATAAGAAAAGTGGGATTTATTGGCATGTGCTGTAACATGCTTGGCACCATATTTTATTTCACTCCATCCTTAGAACAATTCTGTAGGGTGTATTTCTAGATGTATTTTACAGAGAGGTTCAGAAAAAGCAGCTAATTCTAAGACCACGAAGATAACAAGAGACAGAAATGGAATTCTAATCCAGGAGATGCTTTTGCCGCTAGCAAAGGAGACAAAAAGGCAGAAAAACTACCTTGAAAAGTATCTGTTTATCTGAGATAAGCATGAAGGCACATTTCTGTAATACCAACTACTTGGGAGGCTGAGGCAGGAGGATGGAAATTTTGAGGCCAGCTTGAGTAATTTAGTGAGTTTGTGTCTCAAAACAAGGGATGGGGATGAGGCTTAGTGCAAGGCCCGGGTACAGTCCTCAGTACCAAACAATAACGACAAGAGGGGGAGAATGGGTGGGAGAGGAGATGAATCCAGATTGGCCCTGGGTTGATAACTGCTGGGTGATAGGTTGAATGACACAGTTCTGCCTGTTTTGGTAGGTTTAGAAATTTTTGAAATCAAAAATCAAATAGAAGAGCTGTTTAATATATATCGGCAACACAGAAAGTAACATATGTACTGTTTATTTACTGCTATGATAAAGTTTTATAAAAAGAAAGACAGCACAAATTGTGGACTCCCAGAGATGTTTATCAGCATGCACCTGGGTAGTGACTGGATATGACACACGGCTTAACCGTTCCTTCTCAGAAAGGAAAACACCTCGCTACCTAGCATGTATCTTGGATAACGGGCTGCTGCACAGCCTCTACTCCCTCCTGCCATTCCTGCTAGCTCGACTGCAGATTTACATTGAGGGATATCAGATATCCTACTCGTGTTATTTTTATTCTATTTGTAAGTTTTTCTAACATTATCAAGAACTACAAGACAGTGAATCTCACAGATGGAGGCAAGAATATTTTACTACAAAAAAAGTATTGCTTTGCTTAACTTAAAAGGTTAACTTTAATTAAGACAGTGATAAAAGCTTTTACAGACAGTGACAAATATGTAAAGTTACCTCCACTGCTGCGGGCCATTGTCAGGGCTTCCAAAGAAGTTGCCGGAGTTATTTCTAGCTGGCAGATCATTACTTTGGCTCTGCTAATGACACTGGCTGCCTCCCTCAGGTCTTTAGTATTCAAAAGTAAATTCGCTCCAGCCACAATGACAATGATATTCTGGCCTATAAAGAAATTATACATATTTATCTTAACACCAAGCAAAGCCAAGCAATGATATTCTGAAATGTTACAATCATCCTTATGAAGTCACTACATTAAATGTGAAGTATTAATTTTTAACATTTCTATGACATTCAGGTTAAATTTTGTGTTCCAAATGTACATTTTGTAGTAGCTCTGAGATTCACATTATTCTGATTACTTTCTTTCTTCTCCTATGAGATAGTCTCTTTATGATACCCAGGCTGGCCTTGAACTACTGGGCGGAAGTGAGCCTCCTGCCTCAGCCTCCCAAATAGCTGAGACTGCAGGCATGTGGCACCATGCCTGCCCTATTTTGATTACTTGAAGCAAAATCTTAAAAAGGTTGTCTTATCAATATTCTATATTCAAAGAATATTAGTTAAGGAAAGATATACAATATACTTTTAACATTTCTTTTATGGAAAATGGCTCATACAACATATATGGTAAGTATTCAGAATTCTAAGCCCCAAATGCTGTATAGATAAGCACGAATATGAATGAAGATGCACAACATTTAAAACTGATGCTGTGTGGTGTGCAAGCAGTTCATGTGTGTACCCTGTGGTACTCTAGAAGTGGTTCTGTTGAACTGAACGTATTTTATAATAACTAACAGATGGAAAATTCTACCACATGAAGTAGAGAGGGAGAGAGGGGAGATTTGGCCTGTAGTGTACCAGATCAAGAGGAAGAAACAAGACTAAACAATCTCATACATTCTCACCACTTGAGCCCACTCTACAATCGCATCGGCATAGTGCACCTTATCTGCAGGTGATCTCTTAGGGGCTGTGGCATCCGATAGGGTAGTAACATAGCATGTGTTCCTCCTGAGCACGTGAAGTACAGTTAGCCTGAGCTGAGATGTACTTTAAGTAGAAAATACACAGTGGGTTTCAAATACAGTACAGAAAAAAGGAGATAAAATAGCCCATTAAAATTTTAAAAGCATTATATTTGAAAATAGGTGTTTGATTACATGTTGAATAATACTTTTGTTATATTAGGTTAAATAAATATATTGTCAAACTGTTTCTTGTGGCTACTAGAGAATCTAAAATCCTCCACACGGCTGCATTTTACTTCTGTTGTGCAGCACTGATCAGGAGGAATGAGCTGCAGCAGGCAGGTTTTTTTTTGTGCTCCAGGCTACTTGTGCTGGTCTTGTATAGACATGACCTAAAATTACCTCTCAGCATAAAACCAATTCTAGTTGCTCATCTTACCACAGATGTATTTCTTGGCCACAAGGAAGACTTAATAAAGTGGGACCAGTTGAGCATCAGCCCAACCTCAATCCTGGAAAAATTCATAGTGCCCACTTGCTGAAAGATAGCATCTCTCCTTTTTCTCCTTCAGTGACCTCATTCTCTCTGCTGGAGCTCACTGAAGGCTGTGTTGCTGATCTCCAAATCTGTGTTTCTTGACTGGCCCTGGCAGCAGAGCAACAAGCTCAAGACCATAGCTGTCTGCACTCTAGCTGACAGTCGTGTGGCTAGCTCACTCATGCCTCAAATTTAACTAGTCAGAATGAAATTCACTACTGTACCTTACATACTACTCATTCCTTCAATAAAAGAGCTGGACTGTCCCATCTTTGTATTTGTCCTGGCTTTTCTACAATCTATACTCTCGAGGACATTATTATACTAAAGTTAGGCAAAGCCTACCATAATAGGTACATAATATATAATGTTAAATTATGTCTTTGCGTGGGAAATGCAGATTTTGCTGCACAGGTAGGAAAGAAAACGATGCTATCCCTAGAATAAGAAGTTTAACACATGAATTGAGCTGCTGTTGGGAGAAACAATTTAATCTACAGTGTAGCATAAAGTAATGAAGACAGACTTTCTATTGTTAGAATGAAAACTTTTGTCTACTATCCTTAAACAATTACTTTATTATTCTAATTATAGGATCACTAAAGTTGAGTTAAAATAGAATGTTTATTACATAATCCTCCATACCCATGGTTTTGTTTCCCAAATTTTCAATTACCTGTGGCCAAACTGTGGCCTGAAAAACTTAAACGGAAAATTCAAGAAATAAACAATTCATAGATTTTTAAATTGCTTGTCATTCTGAGTAGCATGATGAAATCACATGCCATCTGGGATGTGCATTATCCTTTGCCCGATGCATCCATGTAAACACCACCTGCACACACACACACTGACCACGCAGTCACAACAACCACCTTGATGACCGCTGAGATAATGCATTGCTTGCTTTTAAGCAAACTTTACATCCCAATGTAAAGCCTAATGCTCCACCAAATGCATATATCACCCATCTCCCTTCATCTTATCACATAGGCATTATTGTATCACCTTGCATCACCACAAGAACTTAAATATAGTGCAGTAAGAGTCTGAGATAGACATAGAAATTACATTAATATAACTTTTGCCATAGCAATATTGCTATAATCATTCTACTTTATTATTATTATTGTTAATCTCTTACTGTTAGTTTATAAATTAAACTTTACCATAGGTATATGTGTATAGGAAAAATCATTAGAAACAAATATTAATATATCATATTAATTATAAAAATATTAATGTATTATTATATAGCAATAGTGATATATTATATTAACATGAAACCCTTGGTCTTTCTGTATATTAATCCTGATTTTAAAAAATCTTAGGCAGGTGTTCTTATATTTAAAATAGTTGGTAGAAATTATGAAAATCTAACTTAGAAGTAGTTACTGTTTTTAAAGATAAATGTTTTAACTATGGCCTTGTGGCTGACTTAGTTGTCAATATAGACTTTCAAGATCTAATTGCTGTTTAAAGAGCAGACAAACTGAACATTAATGATAAATTAAAAATATGTAATTGGTTGCTGGCATTTTCTCATTAAATATTCTATAGATACGATTCACAAAATTTTCCTTGTACCTATTTACATTTACTTATGGAGTGTAATGGAAATGATGAATATTCAACTGTTTCTGGAGACAAATATCAACTCTGAGTTTGCGTGAAAGGTAAAGGGTCATTATAGGATACAAATATTATCTGGATGTAACTCTTAATGCTTCATGTATGATCAAAGATTATGGTGAATATTTAAATTTTTAAAAATTCCTTATAGTACGATACATCATCATCGATCTCTCTCAAAGTAGTCTCCTTTGCTTTGGACACACTTATCTCACTGTTCTTGCCCCTTTCTGTTTTTCCTTTTTGAGACAAGATTTCACTATGCAATTCAGGTTGGCCTTGAACTCACTTTGTAGCCCAGGTTGATCTCACACTTGCGGCGATCCTCCTGCTTCAGCCTCCCGAGAACTGGGATTACAGGTGTACACCACCACGCCTGGCTATTGCCACTTTCTGAGGCAGTTCTGAAAGTCCTCTATTGGGAATGGCTTTAGTTGTGCTGTTGTGGCCATCTCAATGCCATGAATCGATTCAAAACACTAACCTTTCATGGTCATTTTGACTTTGGGGAAGAGCTAGAAGTCACATAACATCAGATCCAGTGAATAAAGAGAATGAGGGCACACTGTAATGCTTTTATTTCACAGAAATTTTCCAAAAAGTTTAAGCAATGAAAGGTGATCAAAAAAATTTTTTTTGTCTTTTTTTTGATACAGGGTTTTGCTATACAGTTCAGGCTGGGCTTGAGCTCACTTTGTAGCCCAGGCTGGTCTTGAACTTGCAATAATCCTCCTGCCTCAGCCTTCTGAGTGCTGGGATTACAGGCATGCACTGCCACGCCTGGCCTCATGATTAAAAAATATAATGACTATTTAAGTTAAAAAATGTATTATAGTAAACGACATATTGCCACTCCTTCCCCCTCAAAATACCCTCCCCCCTTCAAAATACTCATGTCATCATTTTTGGTAATGTGTCTTTTAATGTAGTAAGTTTTAAAAAAATTAAACATACTCTATATTTTTTGATCACCCCTTATATATTGAATGGATACTTTTATATTTAAATGATCATCATGGGAAGTATAAATAAAGGGAAACACTTATATTTGGATTGGAAAAGCCGTTGGATAGTCCTTGGAATCGTGTATACAGCAAGAGGTCCATAGGATTAGGGTCAAAAGCCCAATCCAGTTGTGGAAATGATCTGTTTCAGGAAGTGACACTTCAATATGTGAATACATACCTTCATTATTGACAATTATAGAAGCAGCTCCAGTAGCGGCATCTTTAGTCTGATATGTAAATTCTACAAGAAAAAAGAAAATTACAATCATGTACATGCAGCCTGGCATGGATAATTTATTTTAACAATTTCAATGTGACACCAATCCTTGGAAAAAGTTTTTAACCTTTAACCATCTGGAATGAGTTAAAAAATAAGTAATTAGTGCTAATTTATACCCATCACCTATACAATGAGGAAAATAAGCATCATTATATTTAGTGGCACCTTTCCTCCGTAACAGTAACAACCTATCACATTACCCCAATTCCAGTTCCCCAAAATGATTCATAGTTGCATACATATGCATTTTCTAGACCACTACATTTATGTTCTCTAGTGAAAGAAATGACACATTTGAGATAAAAACAAAAGGTTGAACGTATAAAATGAACTTGTTTGATCTTCCTCATTCTCACAAGCTCTGCACTTGGTTGAGAATGATGGCCATGCACATAAACAGAATGTTGATGAGACAGCCCTTGGCAGTAGCAAAGAGCTCTGAACAGCAGTCAGAAGACCTGCATTCTAGTCCTGGCTCTGACTCTTGACTAGTGGTACGCTCTTGGGAAAATCATCTAACCCCACTGGAGCTTCAGTTTTCTCTTCTCTGACAATGTTTTTAGCCTCAGTGATTTCTATGGTTGTTTCCAGCTATAACATTGGATGATTTTTTTCTTAATATACCTTTTGTGAAATACAGCACCTGTTTTTTCTGTTCACATATCCATGAGATGAAGGCTTGCAACCTCTGATCCTTTTATTCCCACATGAAGGGATGCATAAAAAAGAATTCATGAGGGGATATTTAAGCAATATCAGACAAAGCTGTGCCTAAAAACTTTCTGGCCACCAGGGGAGGATCTAATAATTTCATCCTATGTTCAATTTTCTTCTAACAAGATTGCAGAAGAAAGTTATAAACACTAACTTTAAAAAAGATAAATTTTACCTGTAGAAATATCATTCTGTTTTAGGTTTTCTACATAATCATTGCCAAAAGAATCTTTGCCAACCTGTACCAAAGAAATGATGAACATTAGATCTTTTACATTTAGTAAAATGCTACAATGTAGTTTTTAGAATATTTAGCATTTTGAAAGGGCATATCTGCACAGTACTTTATAAACATTAATCAATTAATCCTCTTAGTGTAAGATGTTAGACTTGATTTCAGCCCAAAGAATTGTTACATATTGCATTAATGTTTCATTTATACCCTACCTAAAATGTGAAGCAGTTAATGATGGTTACGAGTTCTATAGCTTTATTCTTATTTTGATCTGTTCATTTGACAACTGCACTGAGATGGCGTTGTCCATCATCAATCCTCAATAGATATGAAGGATTGCAGTGTTCAAACTACAAGGGAAGACATTTTTATAACAACTTGCTCTGTGTTCTAGAATCTTCTTCCTTCTGATGGCACTGGGATTGAACCTAGGGCCCTGAACATACTAGGCAACTGCTCTACCTCTTACCCATACTCCCCAGCCCTAGAATCTTCTTATCTTTTCTGACTTTGATATGAGGGACAAACAGCAGGGAATTTTTAGTCTTAGTTAACATGGGTTAGTTGATACAGTGGGATTCTATTGGTTTTGCATTCAGGCATCCGTCCTGTGAATGGCACTTTGAACTGTCCTTTGCACAGTCATTCCTATTCTATTCATAGACAACATGATTAGGTTGGTCAGGGGACCTGGGACTGATTATCACCCTGCTCATAGTGATAAGTTCATGAATGGGCATATGACCTCAACCAGTCCACTAAGAATTAATCCTGGAAATCTCACTGAGACTACTGGGGAAGATCAGTTTTCTCAATAAGACTTCTAGCTGTGAGACAATGTAAGCTGGGAGTTACTGAGGAGTGTTCCCTGGAGATGGCCTGAACAAAAAGAGCAAACAATAAAAGACAAGGGAATGGTGACAGCCATAGCTACAGACTGCTAATAGCCTGATGGACATCTAAACTGCCTCAGTACAGCTCTGTCATTGGGTTTTTCAGTTACATGAGCCAATACATTCCTTTCTTCTCCCGTAAAGCTATCCTGCTATCCTGAATTTGGCATCTATTGTATTTACCCAAAAAGTCATAACTAGCTTCAAAAGCCAGTGAGCTTACTCTGACCCTCAATCATACTTCAAGTAGTTGTGCTTTTGCCTGGATAGAGAGACCAAGTTCTTGCTTTGTGGCCCACTTTGGTCCCTGGCTCTCCCTCCACTCTGCCAGAATGACTGTGAATCCTAACCATCTCCTCACTTCCCTAGCTTTTACATCAGGGACTCCTCTCTGCCTGGCCAGCCATTTCCTAGAGGCCATGCCTCTGGGTCTAGGGCTCAGCTCCAAAAGGCTATTATTGCAAGGTCTGGCATCAACTGCTGGCATGATCACATACACCTCCTTCTGCCCTGTTCTGGCCCAGGCCACTGGGCCCCTCTGCCACTGAGCACCTCTGGTGTCTTCTACTATGCTTCTCTGATGCTAATGCTTTGTCTGACTGCCATCTTGCCTGGACACTGACCTGACCTCTCCAGTTGAGGCTACAGCAGAACTTATTGTAAAGTGGTGGGTTGAGAGTCAACTATGACCCCTGGATGTGTGTTGTTTCTCCTACTATTTAAAAAAGTACTTTATTTTTAAAAGTAGTTTTAGGTTTTCAGCAAAAGCAAGTAGAAAGTACAGAGTTCCTGTATAATTTTTTTCTTCCCACTCTCAACTTCCATTATCAACATCCTGCACAGAGTGGTGCCTTTGTTATAATCCACGAACTTACACTGTCACATGGAAACTACACACTTTACATCAGGGTTCATTTTTTTCCCCCTTCAATCCTGGCAGTTGTGCCAGGGACTTTGCACATGCTATGCTCTGTGAGCTATGGTACATCCCAACACTGAGATTCATATTCTGTATGTTTTATAAATGTGTAATACCATGTGTCCACCATTATATTACCATAATGGATAGTTTCACTGCCTTAAAAATCCCATTCTTTGCCTATTCATCTCTTCCTTTCCTCAGTTACTGGCAAGCACTGATCTCTTCATTGTCTCCAGTTTTACCTTTTCTAGAATGTCATATTGTTGGACTCAAATAGCATGCAGCTTTTCCAAACTGGCTTCTTTCACTTAGTAATATGCACCTAAGGTTCCTTGGTATCTTTCTGTTTCCTGATAGCTCACTTTCTTTCGGTGCTGAATAATATTCCACTGTCTTGATGGACCACAGTTTACGTATCCCCACTTGCTGAAGGACATCTTGCTAGTTTCAAGTTTTGCAAATTATGAATAAAGCTTTCACAAACATTCAAGTGAAGGATTGTGCATAGATGCTTTGCTGTCTTTATTAACTTAAGAAAATATGACACTATGGGTCAAACCAGGGACTGCATGCTAAGCAGGTACTCTACCTCTGAACTACATCCCCAGCTCCTTTTTAAAAATCTTTACCCAATATCAACATTAAAATATTAGGAGACTACATAAAAACAATTTCCAGGAGGTCCTGGAAGTTCAGAGGTTTTGGTCACAGTCCTGTGAGGCAAGAACTGAGAGGTGACTGACCCAAAGGTGGTACAGGCTTGCTATTGCACCACAGCTTCTGCCTGAAACTACTACAACTTTTGCTACCTGCCTAGCTCCAGTACACCATTAGGTCTGCAATTCTCAATTACTAGTTTTCTGTCTTGTAGTTAAGCACTACTTCAATGGTTTTTCTGTGTGCCAGGTCTCAGCTACACCTGGTATATTCTGTCCTTTCACAAAAAATTATTTTCTTTTTGGATACATCAATAGAAAGTAACCTAGAGATTCACTTTGGTCAAGATCCCCGGTGAATGAGGATAAGGTTTTAGACTCTGCACATCAGGTGAGAAGGTTTTTGCTAAAGAAACAGTTAATATTTTAGGCTTTGCTGGTTATAGGATCTCTTTTTCAACTCTGCCAGTACAGTGTGAAAGCAGCCAAAGAAACAAGTGGGTGTCTTCATATTGTTCCAATAAAACTTTATTTACAAAAGTAGGCAATAAGCAGGATTTGTGTTATGGACCAAAGTTTGCTGATTCTTGATTTAGCTTCCATATCTGATACCTTCTTCACCAAAGAACACTTTTCCCTTTATTTCTTTTCTGGAAATGCTGCTTAGGCAATAATCTCCAACAATGTATAACACTTTCTTACCAGAGTTACTATATTTACAGTATACTGTCCAGCAGCAAGCACTACTGTGGAGTAAGTTCCCTGATGAAGTAGCTCACATGCCAAAGGTATCCCTTATGAGAGGCCAAATATTTATCTGCCAGCTAAGTGCAAAACTGTACAGGGTCACAGGTCAAAGATTCATACCAGAAACAAATTCTTTGCTCTCCCATTGTCTTTCATATAATAGTCCTCTCTCATGGGCAATCATAGAGTTATATAACTGGGAAGTTATCAGTATAAGAATGTTAGAGGGATTAAGAAAACGTCATTTCCAGGTGGATGGGGCTTAGTACAAATTAGGGCAATCATTGGTTAACAGTTTTATGCAAAGTCTGGTAAAGGGGAACATCAATGACAGCACCGAGAAATGGAGGTGATAATACAGACATTAGGGAGTACAGGGATTAGGAAGATTGTTGTAGAGAGGAGAAAACCCCAAAAGCATGCAGCTTTATCGTCAAGAAACTGATAATGTCAAGGGATCGTAAGACATACAGAGACAACCATAATCTAGGCAGACTAGTACATGCGTCAGAGGCATAGTTCAGAAGGGATTTCATGCTTATAGTAACTACATTTTGGAGCCTTGCTGTGGTGGTATTCTAGAGACTACTATGGTTGTTTTCTTTTTCCTTCTCAGGGAATTACTTGCCTTGCTACATTTCTTACTGATGGTTATGTTTTTGTTTTTGTTTTTTGTTTTTGTATCAGGAATCAAACTCAGGACCTTGTGCTTGCCAGAAAGGTGCTTGTACCGCTGAGCTATATCCCCAGCCCGATGGTTATGTTTTTAGCTTTATTCTAATAAGGATTTCCTGACAAATCTGTTTGGCTGGGCTTCTAAACTCAGTGTGAGAGTAAGAACAAAATACTTTGTTTTTGCCTTCTCTGATATTAGCTTATTAAAAGTGAAAGTCTGACAACTTGAAACAATGAAGTAATACCACTGCTAGCTAAGGAGAAGAGAAATCAACTTTAGCTCCATTAATTTTGAATCTAGATTATAGTAAAAGAAGCAATAAAAAGAATAGGAAAACAGTATTTTCACTTGTGTTATGGAAAGTAAAAGTCTCTTCCTCCTAGCTATGAGATTTGGGACAAATCACTTTAATTCTCTCTGAAACTCAATTTCTTTATGGGGAAAGTCATAGCATGTTTGCTGTGAGGAGAAAATAAAATAACATCTATGAAAGCACATCTAAAACCATAAAGGATTAAGTAAAGCTTTGGTGCTCCTCCTCTTCATGGCAGCGGGGCTGTGTCTGTAGCCTTTTCTTAGGGAAAGGGGCAGAGGGTACTGCTGCTTGCATTCAGTCTTGATTTGTTTGGTATGTGGTGGTGCAGGCCAGTAAACATGGGGCTTCATGCATACTAGACAAGGGCTCTACCACTGAGCTACTCCCCCAGCCCTGAATTCAGTCTTACAAACTACTTTCCTGCTCAGCTGGTCCCAATTTTTACTGTTGCTCTTTCTTTTCAAACAGAAGAATATCTGATCCTAAGAGCAAGAATCTGGGTGCATTAAATACTTCTGACAGTCATTACTATTATTATTCTAATAAGAATATTAAAGCTTCCATTAATGATTTGGTGTAAATAGTACTGTTCAATTTTAGTATATGTGCTGCAGAAGCGAGCACACTAGTGCTGTTCAATAGTTACCATTTATCCTGTTATTCTGATGAGAATAATATTATCAAATGGGGGTATATCTGTGCCTCCGGCCTTGGGAGTAAGTTTTAAATGTTAAGTGGATCCAACTCATATACTAAAATGTGGATGAAAACATTGGAAGTCAGTATCCTATTTA